GATGTGACAGAAACTTTTAGCCATAGTAATTCCAATTTGGGACAGGTTATCCCCTTAATCTTCCACCTCATAACCAAGATGGTTGCCTTCCTGGAAAACAGAGAATTCCCTAATTCCCTGGCGGCACACTCCACACTTATGTAGCAGCAGTGGTCAGGAAGCTGAAAGATCTACTCAATGCTCGTTTGAGCAGACAAATTTATAATTTCCCTGAGTGATCCTAGGTGGCACCCGACATACTAGAAGGACAGACTTAGCAAACACGGCCCATGACTTGCAGCTAATGAGTGGCATGCTGGTTGAGGATGATGTGCACATTGGAACTAACATGTCATTATCCACTACTTCCAGCAGCAGCGGTGGCATCATAACCCCAAGAGAGCAGAGTGGAGCATCTGCAGTTTTGGTTGAGGCTGTTGATTTTGGATTGATAAAGAGAGTCAGCAGGCAGCCAAAAGGAGACTATCAATGCCTCTGAAATGGTCAGGTCTTACCTGTGTGAACTTACTTTGCCTCTTAGTGAGGACCCTTTGAGCTACGTCCAACAACCACTGTCCAAAATGAGCAGATGTTACCTCTTACAGGGAACATTTTGAATTTCCATCGCTCACAAATTTCCCTGCATTCAATGGCGCAAATAGCCTTCCTCAAGTACAAGTTCCCCAAGTTGGGTTATCCTGATCTTCACTTTAATACTTAAGACTCATCATCTGATAGCTGAGATCCAACTGGCCACTTACCTCTCATTTCAAAGTTATTTAAATAAAACATTTCAAATTACATTTCTCCTCCTGCTGCTGTTGCAGCTCCCCCTTTTTCGAATGTCTTGTGGTAATGGTTTTGCCCTGCTTGATTGAGTCTTGTGGTGCATGCTACTTCCACAGACACAGTTGAGAGAAACTGATAGAGCCCTGTATGTTTTCCCACACTGAAGTTCAGTCATTGACGCTACAGACTGGATGTGTCTTAAAGCTTTGTTATTGTTAGGGTGTAAGCAGGGAGTAGCTGGTAAATTGTCCACTGACTGTTTCATAACATTTTTGGTGAAAAAAAACTTTCTTCAACCTAAAATGACTCCTACATATTTTTCTTCAATACATGATAGCAAAAGGAAAATTATTACAATCATTATAAAAAAATTTTTTTTTAAAGTTCTCTTACTTCCTGTTTCTCTAATCCCGGTATGTAATAATCACTATCGCGCATTCACAAGAGTACAGCATTGAGGTCTATAGAGGATCCGGTGAATCCACGGGATCCTCCATAGAAAGAGCTTTTTTCCCCTGGAAGAAATTTACTAAATTAAGCCCTGTGCTCAATTTACATAGATGAGTCCTACACTAACAATTCACCCACCCCATGTTATCCCTATAAAGAGTAATAAGTGTGTACGGGTTTATAAAAAATAGCCCTCTCTATCTCATCAAAGATTTGATCTTTTATCTGAAAGCAGCAAGGTGAATTGTCCGTGTAGGACTCATCTAAAAGGTTTTGCCCTGACCTGACAGGTGAGCTTACACTTGAATGGCCATTGGAGTGATACTAAAAACCTCCAGTTATTTAAATGTGCAAAGGGGTTTTCTGTTTCAGAGCTCCCTGCAGGGTCCTGGTGCCCTGAATATTTTTTGAGGTGCCCGTTCTTGTTAGGGACAGTGGGGCAAGACTCAAAAATTGGGACTGTACTTGCAAAATAGGGACGGTTGGGAGGTATGTAACATTGAGTGTAGAGTTATTACCTTGTGCCAGTTACTCTCTCCAAATATGTCTGAGACTCTGAAGCATGGATTTCAGTCTATGCAGCCTCGTAAACCTATCTCCTTCACTGTCTGATTCCTCAGTAACAACTCAAAATGGCTTCCAACTGTCACACAGAGACCTAGACATTCCGTGGGGGCGTGTCCTGCTGGTCGGAAAGCCGCAATCATCTTAAAAGGACCACTCCACACGCATAAAGCACTTCAGCCATCCTATGTTACAGGCACTTTGTAAAATTGCCCATTTCTATGAGAAATCTGAATTTTTATTATTAACTAATGAAACAGCAAGGCAGGTTTCTTCCTATTTCCATTACCCCCAGTGAGCTAAAAGAAGGGTCAGGAAGGCTCTACTTGAGTGCTCCCCCCTCCCTCTCTCATACCTCCGTCTCAGACCTGAAATGAGTGTTTGTGCACGGAGGATAGTCTCAAAGTCTTCTCATTGAGAAGCCTCTGATTGCTTATTTCCCAATGAAGAATGTGAACGTCTCTACTGGGGAAAAGGGGGAGGGTTTGCTAAGGCTGCAGTTCATTAGAAGTGCAGATTTTGCAAGCTCTTTTAAGATATACCCTCAATGAATACATTTATGAAACATGAATGCATGTATCCATTGGGGTTATATCTACTAAACAGTGAATTCAATATGTGAATGAATGCATATAATACATTTGCCTTGATGTGGCATGTGAGCTTACTTAAATGGCCACTGGAGTAATTAAAAAAAACAAAAACTCCAGTTATTTAAATCTGCATAGAGATTTGGGATAGTGCGCAAATAAAGTTTTCTTTGGTTTTTGTAATATGTGTTGGACACTATAGTCATGTGATGTGTACTATAGTCACTGCTATTGCCCAGGAGTAGTGGGAGTTTGAGTCCAGGGCTTAATTTTGTATGTACATATAGTACATAGGTAAAGGATATATAAAACCATCTCCCTATGGATATATACATAAATTGCTAATTTCAGCAATATATTAACATATCACTATGTGCATATATAATTTGGATATTTTAGGCATATATAAAAACTCTGTCCATGTGCTTGCTTCAACTAGGTATTACACGCTTATGTAAATCCCTAACATGTGCATATATAAATCTGACATTGCTGACCTATATAAAATGAATGCAAGCACATACCAACTGGACAGTCTATATACAGAAGGCATACACTCAGGGCCACAATCAGAAATTTTGGGTCCTCTAACACAACTTAAGGTCTAGGCCCCCAGGGGCCCGCCTCCAAGCCTGCCCTCAGGGACCGCCTCTAAATCCTGCCCACAGGACCCACCTCCAAATACGCCCACAAGGAAGTAGTGTTTGTAGAGTGGATACAGAGTGTGTGTTTTGGCTGCAGTGTGTGTGTAGTGGATGCAGCATGTGTATATTGTGAGTGTGTGTGTGTGTATATATATATATATAATACACACACACACACACACACACACAATTTGTGTTTGAATGTAAGCATGTTTTTGTATGAATTATGTGTGTGACTGTTGGTGTTTGAATGTAGTGTATACACTTCCACGCACACTAATACACAGACACATACACTGACACACATGAAAATACACAGACACACACACTGACACAAATACACAACCACATATACCCACACAGACACTCAAACATTGACACAGAATACACACACAGACAGACAAACATACTGATACAAAATGACACTGATGCACACAAAGATACACAAATACAGATACACATAGACATACTGAAAAACACAAATACACACTAACAGAGATACATACTGAAACATAGAAACATAGAATGTGACTGAAGATAAGAACCATTCGGCCCATCTAGTCTGCCCAATTTTCTAAATACTTTCATTAGTCCCTAGTCTTATCTTATAGTTAGGATAGCCTTATGCCTATCCTACTGACACACATACTGAAACAGACACACACAGGCATATATACTGACACATACTGAAACATACATACACACACACCCACAGACATACATACATACTGACACACAGAGACATACTAACATACATACAGATACACACACACTCATGCATAAGGATATACAGACAGACACACACACAAATACATACTAACATACACACAGACATACAAGCATACTGATAAAAGAGCTATGGAATTTGTTGGCGCTATATAAATTATAAAAAATAGCATACATACTGACACACGCACACATACTGACAAAGACACGCATACTTGAAGCTTTTTAGCCAGCCTTCTGTTTCTTACCATTTCAGTGCAGGAGGGTGGCTGTGGCTGATGGGAGTCGTTCTGGCTCTCCCTCCTCGGGTTCTCCTCACTGCCTCCTCCCTCCGGCGCGGAGTGAGCTGGGAGGAAGTGACCAGCCATTACTTCCTCGCAGCACTAGTTGCGGGTGAGATTTTTAAAGGGGCCTGGTAGTGCTATTACACGGCCGCAACGCTGAAGATATAGGGCCCATTGGGTGGCCCTAGGTGCACGGGCCCCCTGATGATGGCCCATGCATACACAGATCAGTCACAACATTTAAACCACCTGCCTGATATTGTGTATGTCCCTCCTCGTCCTGTCAAAACAGCTCTGATGTGTTGAGGCATGGACTCAACAAGAACCTCTGAAACGGTCCTGTGGTATCTGGCACCAAATACTGCAAATACTCTAAAGCAGTTTGACTCCTTACAAAAGAGGTTTGTCAAGGCACTCCAGGCATCATAACAACTACAGCACGCTATTGTAGTTATGGTGCTTAGAGTGTTCCTTTAAGTTATGACTTTAATGCTAAAAATTTACTTTAAACAAGACATTGCTTCTGGCCATTATGGTCAGATTTACTTCAGACAGATAAAGCACAGAGCTATGGGTGTGTCAAGATGCTATCTGCTGCTAAAGAGAGCAACTATGTTAATACCTTCCCTACCCAGCAACGTGTTACTAGTGTTAATTTTAATTATACATTGCTAAGCATTGTAATATTAGACGTTTTCTATTTTCTGCAGGCAGGGTGGAAGTAAATAAACATAGTATTGTCCAGAGTCAATAAAAAAAAAAAAAGGTATAGTGTACTTTTAACCAATTCTTACACTGCCACCCATTATTTGAAGGAACACGGGAGGAGGAGTTTTCTTCCTCTGTACTCCTCACTTCATCGTGTTTACTTATCTACTTTAATTGTACATGTATTTATGCTCTTTTCTGTATTTTCGTATTTACTGTATTTACCTGAAGTGTTTAATTACAACAAAAAGTGACATGAGGCAGCATGGATTGGAGAGATTTAATCAATTCATGATTTGAGATCAGGCATTAGAGGAAAAACAGCTTAGAGTTAATTTATGACTTTAAAAGTTAATTTACAGACAATATTCATGTTGCTATGATTTTTCCAGTGTATAGACATGATCTGATTCCTTATATGACGAGAAGAATCCAAAAAAATATTAAATTATAGCAATTATTATGGTAACAGGCTGTCTATCCTTACCAAAAGGATTCTATTTGAAGTGAATGCACAAAAATTTCAGCCACACTATATTCATTTAACTACTTATAAAAGAGTTGTTCTTTTTTATCAGTATCTTTGTTCTAGAGACATTCATATTAAAATTATATTAAAATATAATATTGCCTACCAGTCACATTCAATTAAATTGAAGGCATAATTCAAAGGTGAATAATCATGTTCATTTTGAAACTATATTTTAATATGGTTAATGTAGCTTTATAGAACAGATCTGTAAATTAGTTTAATCTCTGAAACCTCGCTGTCTTAAATGAGAAAATATAGGTCACTAGCAGCAGAATCCACAGTTTTAAGATTCTTTATTGATATTAATACTTAGAGAGCAACAACGGTGCGTTAATGTTCCAAACATTTAAAGATATGTTAAAAGCTTATGTTCACTGACTATGGAAGAATATTTTCAAGGAGACACAGACTAAAAAAAGCAAAATGTGAACGTCTAAATGGCATACTCTTTTACCCATTAATGTCATGAGTGTCCATAACTGGCCCTGCACAACATAAAATGAGCCATTACAGGATTCAAACTCTATATGAGTATTGGTTGCTGAGTAGGGCTTCATATAACTGCTGGCAGAAAATTGTTTGTTAGACGTCAGTGCTTCACCTTGGTTTGCTTTATAAACACCCATGATTATGTTAATAAAAAAAAAGACTCATCAGTTTATATGCAAGTTAAAGATTATTTTTCCAGAAAAGAAATTGGAACGATAAAATGTTTTAAAATTATAGAACCCAAATATGGAGAGTCACAAGCATATGCTGGTGTTGGGGAATGCACATAATCAGTCCAAGTGTAAATTATTCTATAATAAGAGTATAAAGGAATGAGTAAGGCTAATCGTTGTAGGAATAAACTGCATCTTCAATCCTCTTCAAGCAATGTGATATTTCACTTTACCACCACGAAGAGTCACTGCTCTCCAATGAGAACGTAAATTTGGCACAGCCAATTTCCTCATTCTCATGGCTCATGACTCCAGTCACACGGTAATTGCCGCTAGCAAGCCAGGATGGAAGAGATAGATTTGGTATCTTAATGCTGGTATCAGGAAGAGAATAGGATCCCTAAAAAATATAAATATATTAGTTAGATGTCATAAAAAAATAAATAAAAAAAAAAAGTTATTTCCTATATATGTTTGTCTTGGTTTACTTGTATATTTTATATATTCATTGTACAGCTTTATGGAATATGTTGGATCCTTTCTATATTATTACTAATGTATTCATTGACTTTACAAGTTTAATTTTACCATAAGCAAATGACAGAACTACCATGATCACCTGTTTCATATCTTCATATGACTGGTACATAAAAGGGACCTGTGGCTACACTCTCACACTCTGTAGCATGGCTGCATGGAAGAAGATCTTCATATTCCTCATCTGACTCTGACAGGGGCAGTGATCAGCATGTAGTTAGTGGAGTGGAGCAGTACTATATATTATTACTTGAAGCTTCTTGTCTGACTAGGCAGAGGAACATGAAGACCCTCTACCACAGTCCTGCAAGGCAAACTACAACACTGCTCCTAGATGGAGGGAGCAGTAAGAAGCACACAATGAGTAAATAAGGATGGGATTAAAAGACACGAGGGTTAAGGACAGTGTTAAGAGACACACAATAGGTAAGATGGGGTTAAAGGAACATTCTAAATACTATAACTATAGCCCTTTCACTTCACTATCTGAGATGTCTGTGATTAATAGATCCACCAGGTTTTCCTAGACACAGACGACTCATTTATGCTGTTGTAGATAAAATACAGACCAAGAACAATGAAGGTGGGATTCCACAGAATATACATCGGATAGAAATCTGTTGTCCACTTGTCCTTTTTGAATTATACATACTCGAGCATCACTGTACATTTACTGACCATTAGCAAAAAATAAGTCAAATGTGTAGAATCTGCTGATGATCAGTTCCTATTTGCTGTGTTTACGACATAGGCACTCCTCAACCAATGAAAACATAATAAAATCCTGGTGATCCCAAATGATTTTTAGAAAAGAATACCCGCTCAAAAATGGTGGCATCACTCCCCATGATCGTGAAACGGAGGTCTTGTCAATATCCCATGACCTCAGTGATTTATGCCCACTGAAGCAGAGTTCGTGTAGTTGATATACTTCACCTCAGTAAGATTTTGTGAAAAGTAACATTGGTATTATGAGTCAACATGTCAACTTAGTTGTCTGTGCATTTCTGCACAACTATGATGTAAGTGAGCCATCCTCTAATATGTATTCATGTATATGTATTATTTAGCATATATCAACATCAACAATCTATCCTTCACTGAGAAATCTTGAGAGCACAAACAAAGTAGCTAGGAGGAAATCAAGGCAACTAGAAAATCAAGTTTGTTTTTTTTTTTTTTTTTTTTAACCAGGGTAGATGTTTTTAAAATGTACATCTTCGTAATCAGTATGGTCACATCGCATGTAATTATTTATTCATGTAGGCAATTCAAAATGCTGTCCGCTTACTTTTTTGAATGGGCAGTGGCAGGGTAAATCGTATGTACGCAGTGGCTCAGGGCACTCCTGTCCTGGTTGAATGAGAGCATCCAGGATGCTGCATGCATCATCATAGGTGCAGCTACCCAAATTATCTAGGCAGGGTACCTTAACCCACTCACCAAAAAGCTCTTTTTCTGCAGTAATGGCAATCTATAGTGAAAAAAAAGAAATGTAATGATATATATACACATTGGAAATTCTCTGTACAATTAATCTTACAAATATAACACAGAAGGGCAGGTCATCAGGGCTCAAAAACAGTGTGAACCCATGGGGACTCCATTTCATTATCTTTGCAGAGGTAATGGAGTTATCTGTGACAGGAGGAACATTGTTTACAGTATACAAGCATTCATACACAGCCCAGGTCATTTCAAAATACAATCCCCAGATAGGCGTGTTCTTCTTTCCTATTTGCCTTTCCAACAACGGTCAGAAAAAAAAGTCACATGCGGCTCACAATTAATATATATTTGCGGCCCAGCTGCCCTGTCGGATTCTGGTCTTCCCTCCCACAGCCAAAAGAGTGCAGAGTGGAAGTCTGTTTGCAGAGCAGGCCAGCCACTCCAGCTTCCCTCCTGCTTGCAGTGCCAGAGGAGCATCTGGCCTGCTTGAGAAAAGATGGGCTGGAACTGGAGGATGGGGGGGAGGTCATCTTAAGGTAGAGGAAGAGGGGCTTGTGGGACCTTCCTGTGTAGTGTGTTACATTGTGGAGGGTGGGCAGTGTATTAGGGGGGGGTGGGGGCAGTGTATTAAATTGGAGAGAGGGGAGTGTATTACATAGGGGGAGGGAGTAAGCAGTGGGCGAGACAGGGGGCCAGTGTAATAAATTGGGGGGAGGAGGGCAGTGTATTAATTTGAAGGATGGAGGGGGCAATAATGGAGGGAGCCAGTGTATTAAACTGGGGGAGAGAGTGGGGCAGTGTATTACAGTTGTGGTGGTTGGGGGGGGGTCAGTGTGTTAAATTGGGGAGAGGGCAGTGTATTAATTTGGGGAGGGAAAGGGGAGAATGTGTTAGATTGGGGAGGGTAGCCAGTGTAATAAATAAGAGTGGAGGCAGTGTATCCAATTAAAGTGGAGGGAGGAGGGGCAGTGTATTAGAGTAAGGGGCAGTATATTAGATTGGGTGGAGGGGGCAGCTTTTAGAGTGGCAGTGTATTGGATTTGTGGGCAGAGTATTAATATGTGGGGATGGGACAGTGTATTAGATTGGGTCTGCATGGAGGCGCTGAAAGCTGCGCATGAAGATCCTGATTGGTCGTGCAGCTTTTTGCCACACATGCATAATAGCCTCCCAATACTTTCCTATGGGAAAGCATTGGATTGGCTGAGATCATCAAGTTTGATGATCTCAGCCAAAGTGAAGAACACACTCATAGGACTTCAAAATCAACAAGATAACGTCATTTGTGTTTTACAGCTGTGCCACAGCATACATTTACAATTTCAGTCCAGTTACGAAACTTTCCTTAATATGTCAAGGTAGTTGGACTGAAACATTGATTATATGCAAATGCAGGTCTCCTTAAAATAAATTCGCTCTTTTGTTTACTTTAAAGACTTACGAGCGTGAGGACGTCTAGTGTCAGTTAGGCAACTTTTTTTATATTGTACTTTTCTAAATAAACCTATGTTTCTATGAAAACTGAAGCTTTGGGGTTTTTTTGTGGCCCACATGAACTTAACTTGTTTATTTGGTCTGTGGTCGTCTTTGAGTTTGACATGCTTGCTTTAGGAGATAACTGGGATTCTATACCACATTGAAAGTAACTTATAACTGTATTACTGATGTTAGGTATTAATAGAGCATTAATACAGCATAGATGTATTGTCAGAATAATAGAACAGTTTAAAGGGACACTGTAGACCACTTCATCTCATTGAAGTGGTCTGAGTGCAATGTTCCTTTCCCACTTAGTCCTGCAATGTAAAACATTGCGTTTTTTGAGAACAGCCACTATAGGCTCTTCTGGTATTTTACCAGACTTGATTGTCTAACTCACGCTGGATGTCCTCACACTCTGCATGAAACCATCTAGTGTCATTGAAATCCCCATAGGAAAGCACTAAGCAATGCTATCCTATCGGGAGGGCTTAATTACAGCCATTGGCTGCTCATTGTTTTAAAAAAAGACTAACGACTGGGCACCGATACAGGGTGACCTGGCACAGGTCACTCGTGACCCCATGGTGGGGTACCTAATAAATTAATTAACTAGGGGTGACACAGTTTCCCTACCTGCCCCACGAGTGGGGAGAGTCGTTATTAGATATGCCATTAATTGAGGCACAGTGGGTACAGACAGGAGGGGAGATTTAACCTTCCTTATTTACAAATACTACTAAGTAGTAAAGTTGTTTGAAAGACCAAAATTATGAAAAGGAAGGGTGTTTCATGACTTTGGTCTTTCAGCTTCTTAGTAGATTGCTCCCTAATCCTTGTGGATTAGCTATCTACTAAACAGCTCCCTGTTTACACAATGCCTATTTTAGATTCTTGTTCTGCCATTTTGTTCCCTAGTGTCCTTATTCAGGGAGAGCAGAGAACTAACTGTCCCCTGGCAGTACAGCATAAGAGTAACATTAGCAAGCTTGTGCTGTGTGGAGGGCAATAGGACCACGCAGACAGCGATTCAGAAATGCTCTACAATGAGCTGGCACTGAAGAGCATGGCAGAACTCAGTGGAGTGTATGAAAGCTTCTTCACAATCAGTTTTGCTTCCCCTGGGAGGATGCCAGGCCACTCCTAGTACTATACTATAACCACCACAGAGGGTAGTAATGGTTACAGGGATTGAAGTGGTCCTTTCAATGAGTGACCAGTGGCATGACAGAGATCTGTTCCTTTACAGACTGATACTCATTCCTGGAGTATAAATAAGGGTAAATAAAGCTTTATGGACTAAATTTCATTTTGCAAAGTAAATAAAAGTAAAAACATGTATACAAACTGGGATTGAAAGGGCTACAGAAATGAAGGAAGGAAAGCACCACCTTTTTGGGTCTCCTAAAGCTTTTCAACCAGCTTGAAAGTGTTACAATTGTATACAGAGCCTGATTAAAATGGAGGTCCTTAAACTGACTAAAAATATACAATTATCATAATTATTGGGGATTTTTTAAGTTGCATTACTCCACCCAAACTCTTGCTCTATAATGTTGTGGAGATTTGGGAGGGATGCTTGGAAGGGGTTGTGTGGACTTAAAATAAGTGCAAATGCTCCAGTTGCTTTTATCTCTTGTCTAGCAGCCCATCATCTTTTTGACAGGATGTGGTAGTGCGGCATGTGCCCTTTGTGCTCCACACTACATCAACCTCTTTCTCTGTCAAAGGTTGCATATCACGAGCAAGCTGCTTATGGTTAGTAAAAAGGGAAGGAGATAAGTGGACATATGAGTCTTAAGAATAGATAAATGGAATGTCATAATGGGGGTAAAGTGCAGTTAGGGCTACTGTTTTGACCAAAAAGTGAAATGGCCCCACTAAGTGCCCCGGCAGAATTGTAAATTTGAAAACTGAAATCGCCATGTCTGTCATGTAACCCTGGAATATGTAGAAAATCTGGCATGGTCTACATGGAGGGATTACTGTACTTGGCAGGAGTAGCAAAATAGAAATCAGAGGTCTTTACAATTGTGGGACACACCTGGTGAGTGAAATTAAACTTTAAAAAAAAAATTTTTTTTTAAATTGAATATAACATAGAATATAACCAGCAGTATTGTCTGGGTTGTGATGAAATAGTTAAATAAAAAGTGTCAAAATGCTTATATCGTTATATATAACCGGTTAGGTCTAAACAATTAACAATTACTTCAGTGTAGCAGATTTGGAATCTTGAAGTACTTTCACACTCTATTTGGAGTTATTTTTCTTTAGGTGAAATGGTTGTACATAGGTTACTGTGAGCTAAGCTGCAAAAAATCAGTTTGTTTGTTTTTTTGTTTTGTTTTTTTTAACTATAGTTTCTATGGATGTTAAATTAAGGCTGCATTAACATATCAAAAAGTGCCAGAAAAGCACACATGAAATCTTGCAAAGATATTAGTCATAAAGAGGTTAAACACCATTTAAACAACAGAAACTAAGACATTGTTGAAATGGATGCCCCTAAGTTAATGACATTGTGTTTAGAGATGGACTTGTATTAAGGGTAGATGGGGAGAGGGTACTTGAGTTAGGGAGTGTTTTGAGTTAGGGTTGCTTTCAAGGTGCTATGGACTGTATCTCCCCTTATATTCAACCCTAAAATCCAATAACCCCAAGCTTCCCAGATTTAAACTAATAGATTTAGTGGTGTATGTAAAGGACTTTATTTTGTATTATTTTGACTTACAACTTATCTTTTCAATTATGATATTTAACCCCTTAAGGGCCAAGCTTCTGGAATAAAAGGAATTCATGACATGTCACACATGTCATGTGTCCTTAACGGGTTAAAGTAGTTGATGTGTTTAGGTGACAGAATGGCATGTGTGATTTTAAGTGCATAATACTCTTTTTGAATGTATCATGTTTTGATGTTCGAGAGATAGGAACTGCCTATAGACATGCCTAGGCCAGTCAGCACGCGTTAGATCTGGAAAAAAAAGGTTTATGAGTAAAAAAATTGTTACAAAAGTAACATGAAACAGAAAGTCCATTAATATATATGACAGTACAGTCTAAGGGGGCCTTTTAGTCCTTTACAATTTTTTATAAATACCTTAACATTTGTGATAACTTATGTCCCCTAAGCTTTAAAAAAAACAAAACATTATTATGAAATAAAAAGACATAATAGTATTTGTATTTCTATTAAATATTAATGAATTAAACAACAAGCATATAAAGCAAATTGTAATTAAAGCTACCCTGTCACTATCTGGGGATTGAAAAGGACCTTTGGTCCGGTCTCTGATGCTGGATGTCCATCCTCATGCTCTGCATGAGGACACCCAGCTTCAGATTTTTACCCATAGGAAAGCATTGATTCATTACTTTCCCATGGGGAGGTCTAATGCGCTCGCGGCAATTGCCGTGCATTGGCATTAGCACCCGCTCATTGCAGATCGTCGGAGGGGGCAAAGCGTTGACCCAATACTGAGGGACATTGGCACTGGGATTAGGTAAGTAAATAAAGGATCTTTATCCCTTTATTTACCAAAGCGTAGAGGCGCGAGGAATGAGGGAGGCAGGGCGAGGGTAAGTGCCAGAAATACAGCTTTGTATACCTGGTACTATAGTATTCCTTTATGCTGGGATTCCAAATGCTTGATATCGTGTTCTGAATATCTAAAGAACTGATAAAACATTTGTTTTCTACACTGAGAGGCCGTGACCTAAACCAAACTTTCCAACATATTCACCCATTGAAAGGAATCTGTTTTGAATGGTCAGTTGTGGCATATTCGAATAGATCCATTGTATGGATTTGAAGGCCATAGTTTACACTAACTCACCTTGAGAGGAGACTCCACAGGTACATTAGTGGATAGTACTGTAGCGATTGACACATCTCCAGGAATGGTAATTGGGTCTGGATGAAGTGTAAGACTTTTGATTTTGCCTGGAAGGCTTTCTGCATCACAGTTAGCCCAAGAGAACCCATTAACCTAAATAGAAAAGCAAATTAAAAAAAAACTTATCAGTAATTAGCAAAACTAGTCTGTGGCAGGCAAATAACAAAAATAATTTTATATTACGTTTGACAGTGTGTGTTGTGGTTTGACGTTTACAGCAAAATAATATGCAAGACACTGTCTGTTGCAGGACTTGTTCTGGAGCGTCTGTGGCTTACCACAATAACACTGCAGCTAAACTTTGTCAAGACAACTGCTTCTGCAAATCTAATACAAAGATATTTGGCATTTATTTTCAAAACTTAACCCCTTCAAGACTGAGGCAATTGTATAGTTCAAAAATCAATATAAAACCTAGAATTTGAGATACATATGTCTGTTCAACCATAATTCACATATTTCAGATTAAATGGACACTCCAATGCCCAAATACGCAATAAATAAAAATCACTGTTTAATAAATATTCCCAAAATGAAAGTTTGCACGTGTTTATCCATTTTTTCCATCGGGGGTATATCTAAAAACAGATTGCAAAAACTGCAGTTCTCTTGTCTGCTGCCTGTGCAAGCCATCCTCTTCTAACCCTAACCAGACTTTATGTAACTCTTCAATCACAGACTTCCCAATGCAGATCAATGAGAAGTCTTTGCAAGTCAGGTGCTCTGAGCAATTGCCCCCTCTCTTAACTTAAGTGCAACTAAGCTAACGGAACAAGGAATTAACAGGTTAAAAAGGCAGGTGGTGTAACCAGTATAGATTTATAAAAAAGTGTAAATTTCTATTGAAAGAGGACACACTCATCACACAAAGTGTTAAAGGGACACTATAGTCACCTGAACAACTTCAGCTTAATGAGGTTGTTCAGGTGAGAACTATAGCTCCCTGCAGCCTTTCTCATGTAAACACTGTACTTTCTTACAAAATTCACTGTTTACATTGAAAGCTAGGAACACCTCCAGTTGCAGTCACTCAGAGTGAACCAGAGGGACTTCGGAGTTGATGGAGGCTTAATATGCCTCCATCCACTCAGATCTGCTGTCAGCAGAGCACAGGGCAGTACTGTGCACAGCATCCTGTGATTCAGTATCTCCTCCCTCTGCATGCAGACACTGAACTTTCCTCATAGAGATTCACTGATTCAATTCATCTCTATGAGGAGATGCTGATTGGCCAGGACTGTGTTTGAATCATGCTGGCTCTGCCCCCGATCTTCCTCTTTGCCAGTCTCAGCCAATCCTATGAGGAAGCACTGTGATTGGATCAGGCTGCCACATGTCAGCAGACTGCTTGTTTTTTCTGAGTCTAACAGCATGCAGATTTACAGCTTCTTGAATACAGTAAGATTTGTATTATATTTATGGAGGCCCAGGGGGGCTAGATGGTGGTGTCAACACTATAGGGTCAGGAATACAGGTTTGTGTTCCTGACCCTACAGTGATCCTTTAAACAGGGCTTTCATTTCATAGCAAATATTTATATATGAAACATAATTTAATATGAGTAAAACCTAAAATTTTATTTTTCAAATTCAACATGAGATTTTAACTGTCATAATACAGTTAGCTTTTACTGCAATAAAATACACATATTTGTGTTCAGGGATATCTCACAAGTGCAACATCCATATACAGGTTTTATAGGATTTAGAAAAGTTACATGGTCAAATATAGCGCTTTTCCCTTTTCAGTTATTACACATTGAAATATGCCAGATTGGTTTGCTGAGCCTATGTTGTCTTTGAGACCGTATGGCAGCCCCCCAAAAATTAACCCTAATATAACACACCATTTGCCAACGTAGACAACCCAGGGTATTCATAATTGGTTGTCTATGTCTTTTTTACTAGCCTTTTAGTCACAAACCCTGGCCAAAGTTGATATTCATATTGGGTACTTTTTGCATTTTCCACAAAAAAAATGCCTTTTCACTTTAATATCATCGTCATTATACATGTTACTGCTCTAAAACACTCATATTTGTGTTCAGCAATGTCTCATGCCTAAAACAGTACGCCGCAGGTAGAATTTTTATAGGGTTTTGGAAAGTTACAGGTTCAAATATAGGGCTTGCCAATTTTTGAATTACACCCTAACTGTGATTAAACCCACTTTTTTTAAAGGTGGCATGGTACCCCCTAATGACATTTTGGGAGATAAAAGAACACTATAGTGTCAGGTATACAAACATGTATTCCTGACACTATAGTTCTGAAGTGGCTGTTTAGGTGGCCGGCCTGTTCTCAGTAGAAGTCTACTCACAACACGCCGGTCTTGCTATGCCAGTTTTGCTATCAATCTTGATGATCTTATCCAACCCAGGAGGGTAATGCGCATGCGCAGCAACATGATGCGCTGTGCCAATCAGAATCTCAATGCTGAGCATAGAGACGCTGAACTTAGGTGCTGCAAACTGTGCAGCACGGATATAGAATGCCACTAGAGGGGTAACTGGCCAGCAATGTAAATACTGCCTTTTCGATGAAAAGGCAATGTTTACATTAAAAACCCTGCAGGAACATGCTATAGACCCCAAAATTACTATAATGAACTATAGTGGCTCTGGTGACTACAGTGTCCCTTTAAAACTAAATATATATAAATGAGAACATTGATAAGCAACATAAAAAAAATTACATCTGCTGGAGAACTGTGAAGAGATGATATATAAATATTAATATCCAGGTAATGTATGAGTGCTTTAGAACATTGTATAGATTCAATTTACAAGGTAATCTCCAAGTTTAAAACAATGGCTTATTTGTCATGTAGGATTGAGGGGTGTCCAGACTTTGGCACTCCAGCTGGTGTGGAACTAAATTGCCTAAAATTCGCTTCCAGACAGCGGTCTAAGCCATTAACATAACAGCTAATTATTTCGACACTACTTGTATTACATTGCTACGTTTACAATTTCACTATAAGCAATATATTTATTCCCCATGCCTCCAATATCCTTACCGTGGTTAGTCTCCATGGAATAACATTCTGCGGCATTCTAAGTGCCTCACAGGAGAATAGTCCCAGAGCTGCAAGTATTAAAGAGAAGAACAGAGACATGATTGAGGATAATAGACTGGTGACAAATTGGAACCTACAGTGAGATGACTGCTTCAATCTCCAGCTGCCTATAAACGTCCTTTTAAATATAGAGCTGTATGCATCACACACCAAGCAAACATACACAGCAAACACTGCAAGGGCAACAGATAAGCCCACTGGCTTCAGGTACTGGAGCCAAAAAGGACAAATAAAAGAGATTGCAATCACACATCTACAAAGATCTATTTTTTTTTTTTCTTTCAGGCGCTTCCTTGTTGTCAAGCTGAATTCAGTCACATGACATGCTTGCTCAGTGAGCTGTTTGTAATGTTTTCAGTGTAAAACCTGGAGGATTATGGGAGACGTGCTGCAAATTGAGGTTTAGGATCATGACAAGTTCTAGTATTGCCCTCTGCTGGTCCAAGTTGGAGATTGAAATATATTTGAGATGGAAAGTAACCTTTTATTTACATGCAGGATTATTCACTAAAATAAGAATTCAAAGTGAATTTCAAATCTAAATCCAGATTAGCAAATCTGAAAGCATAGTCAACAGTGTTTTACTAGGAAAATGACATGGCGATTATTTTCTTTTAGAACAGTATATGCTGTGGAGCACAAACAATGATACATAAACAAATTGTATATTTAAATTTTATACAAACAATTGATTGGAAAAAAAGTCACAAGGACTTGCACCATGAAAAGCAATAAAAATAAAGTGTACTAATAAGGTACAGACGGAATTATATATATATATATATATATATATATATATATATCAATCAAAGGAAATAATCCTGCACTCCATATGCCAAAAAAATAGTGTGCCCGGTGCTTGTCCAGCAAAATACAAAAAGGAAAATAAGATCGCACTCTCAGGACTATAGAAAAAATGAATAAAACTTAACTTTTAATTAACTTCTACAAAAAATAAATAAAAAAAATCGACGTTTCAGTCTGTTAACCACAGACTTTCATCAGGATTAATACATAAAAATTCATACCTTACATATATAGTACAATACATATTGGCAATCAACTTACCCACCACCAAAACGATTGTCTCTCCCTGTCAGCCCGGTCTGGAGCTCACGTGGGTTCGGCCGGCGTCGGAGCGTGCGTCAATGACGCCATCACGCGAGCAACCAGCCGGCAGCATGATGGGGAGATTGTTGCTATGGAAAAAAAGCTTCCTAGCAACCTATAAAAACAAAACACAAATGCACTGGGGAACCAAAACACTCAAATGATTCAATTAGGCAAATACAATATAGAGATATAATTAGCTACTATAAAGCCCAACATTATTACAACCAGGGCATACTCATGCTACATGTTATAAAAAGACCACATGCTAACAAAACTGTATGGCAAAACAAAGTACCCAGATCTCAGGCCTTAAGTATGGAAGCAAAAAGGGTAAACAGTATACATAAAAGAATATACCAAACAGAGAGAAAAGAAGGAAAAAGCAACTGGAAACAGAATAAACTTATAGTACATTGACTAGTTGCTCTAACAGGCATATATTATTGTCATTAAATTGAAACTACCCCTAACTGGATGTGAGAATACATATCGTTGTCCAAACACCTGATACTCTCACAATGTAGGTGAAGGATATACATGTCAATATAACTTAATACCTTCATAATGAGGCATAATGGGTAAGTGCCTTTCCCCCAGGGTGGGCATCAATACCCATGCTTCATATTGTCCCGTCTTCAAAGAGTATCACCCAGTGTACTCTATGTCTAGGCAACCAATAAACAATGACCCATGCTGTCAAGTGCCTATAATAGAGAAGTGTAATCATACCAATATATAAAATATAAAACAATAAAGAAAAATATGGACAAAAAGGTTACACTGGGGGATAGAACATCCCTGGTAATTCGAGTAGGGTGACACCACCCAAAATGATGTACACCCAACTCATATAGTCAAAGGCAATATCCCTCCACAAAATCACTGCCTGTATACCCCAAAAGAAAGGGAAAAGGGACCAACATATAACTGGACACCGGTCGAAGTGGCTGAGCCCCAGGACGGGCCACTTCCACCTATTCCAGAATGGATCAGGTTACATACAAAAATTATAAAAAGGCAGATAGTGAATATTTTTCATTAAGTCCTTCAGGATAGACAGTTTGTAATGTTCTAATCCAGAATAGTGCCCGTTGGAGGAGCATCTTTTTTCGATCTCCACCTCTTCTCGGCAAGGGAACATGGTCGATAGCCATTAATTTCATGGAGGGCAAAGTGTGTCCAAATTCCAAGAAATGCTTGGCTACCGGTAACTCAGACTTACTGTCCCTATAGGCAGTTCTAATACTAGATCTGTGATTACGAATTCTTTCTCTCAAAGGTAAGTCCATCTTTCCAATATATGTTAAACCACAGGAGCACGATAATTTGTAGATCACAAAGTCGCTTGTGCAAGTTAGTCGGTGTCGTATGCAGAAGCTGATGCCCGTATGAGGATGAGTGAATGTCTTCCCAGGGATCATATGTCCACAGGTAACACTTCCAAGACAGCGATAACATCCTAAATTCTGTGGAGCAATTTCCTTAGAGTAACAGTGAAAGGGGTCAGTGTTCACTAACAAATCTCTCAAATTTTTGTTCCTCTTATAACAAAACATAGGAGGGTCCTGAAATACTGGAGCTAATGTGACATAATTTCTTAAGACTCTCCAATTCTCCTCAATAATTTGTTTGAATGTAGTAAAAGTAGTAGGGAATACCAATCTATTAGTTGGTGTTTTAGAAGTGGGAATTCCAGCTGTAGCGAGACATCTATTGAGTGCTTTTAATAAAACATAACTAGTATACCCCCGTTGTCAAAATTTGTCCCACATCATGCCTAGTTGTTCCTGTGCTCGATTTAAATCAGAGTTGTTCCTCAAAACTCTAAAAAACTGTGAGTAAGGTAGAGAATCTTTCAAGGGCTGTCTTGGAAGTGTTACCTGTGGACATATGATCCCTGGGAAGACATTCACTCATCCCCATAAGGGCATCAGCTTCTGCATACGACACCGACTAACTTGCACAAGCGACTTTGTGATCTACAAATTAACGTGCCCCTGTGGTTTAACATATATTGGAAAGACGGACTTACCTTTGAGAGAAAGAATTCGTAATCACAGATCTAGTATTAGAACTGCCTATAGGGACAGGAAGTCTGAGTTACCGGTAGCCAAGTATTTCTTGGAATTTGGACACACTTTGCCCTCCATGAAATTAATGGCTATCGACCATGTTCCCTTGCCGAGAAGAGGTGGAGATCGAAAAAAGATGCTCCTCCAAAGGGAACTATTCTGGATTAGAACATTACAAACTGTCTATCCTGATGTGTGTATCAGGGATCCTTAGGACAGGTGTCAATCCATATCTGCCAAGTGACCCTATGTAGGGGGAACAGTCTCTATTCTGCTCTGTGTCAGTGTGTATCATGGTTCCTGAGGACAGGTGTCAATCCATATCTGCCAAGTGACCCTATGTAGGAGAAGAATCTCTATTCTGCTCTGTGTTAGTGTGTATTATGGTCTCTTAGGACAGGTGTCAATCCACATCTGCCAAGTGACCCTATGTAGGAGAACAGTCTCTATTCTGCTCTGTGTCAGTGTGTATCATGGTCTCTGAGGACAGGTGTCAATCCATATCTGCCAAGTGACCCTATGTAGGAGGAACAGTCTCTATTCTGCTCTGTGTCAGTGTATATCAGGGGATCTGAGGACAGGTGTCAATCCATATCTGCCAAGTGACCTTATGTAGGGGGAACAGTCTCTATTCTGCTCTGTGTCAGTGTGTATCATGGTCTCTGAGGACAGGTGTCAATCCATGTCTGCCAAGTGACCCTATGTAGGGGGAACAGTCCCTGTTCTGCTCTGTGTCAAGATGTCATATGTCAGGTATCAATCCATATCCATTGTGATTTAGGAATGTTAGGTGATTTCTGCCCTTTATGGATTAAAACCAGACTCTGCATCAACTGTGTAATTTTCCATGGGAGTTTTGCCATGGATCCCCCTCCGGCATGCCACAGTCCAGGTGTTAGTCCCCTTGAAACAACTTTTCCATCACTATTGTGGCCAGAAAGAAAGAAGTCTAAGGCGGTTCACCCGGTTCGCCGGTTCGCGAACAGTTGCGGAAGTTCGCGTTCGCCAATCGCGAACCAAAAATTTCATGTTCGCGACATCACTATACACTGGGTGGCACTTTTTGAAGACGGAACAATATGAAGCATGGGTATTGATGCCCACCCTGGGGGAAAGGCACTTACCCATTATGCCTCATTATGAAGGTATTAAGTTATATTGACATGTATATCCTTCACCTACATTGTTAGAGTATCAGGTGTTTGGACAACGATATGTATTCTCACATACAGTTAGGGGTAGTTCCAATTTAATGACAATAATATATGCCTGTTAGAGCAACTAGTCAATGTACTATTAGTTTATTCTGTTTCCAGTAGCTTTTTCCTTCTTTTCTCTCTGTTTGGTATATTCTTTTATATATACTGTTTACCCTTTTTGCTTCCATACTTAAGGCCTGAGATCTGGGTACTTTGTTTTGCCATACAGTTTTGTTAGCATGTGGTCTTTTTATAACATGTAGCATGAGTATGCCCTGGTTGTAATAATGTTGGGCTTTATAGTAGCTAATTATATCTCTATATTGTATTTGCCTAATTGAATCATTTGAGTGTTTTGGTTCCCCAGTGCATTTGTGTTTTGTTTTTATAGGTTGCTAGGAAGCTTTTTTCCATAGCAACAATCTCCCCATGATGCTGCCGGCTGGTTGCTCGCGTGATGACGTCATGACGCCGGCGTCGCGTGATGACGTAATAGACGCACGCTCCGACGCCGGCCGAACCCACGTGAGCTCCAGACCGGGCTGACAGGGACAGACAATTGTTTTTGTGGTGGGTAAGTTGATTGCCAATATGTATTGTACTATATATGTAAGGTATGAATTTTTATGTATTAATCCTGATGAAAGTCTGTGGTTAACAGACTGAAACGTCGATTTTTTTTTGTAGAAGTTAATTAAAAGTTAAGTTTTATTCATTTTTTCTATAGTCCTGAGAGTGCAATTTTCCTTTATATATATATACACACACACACACACACACACCCCCAGTGGTGCCACTCACTAGGGGGGTGCCCAGAGTGCATTTTAATGCCACTTGCAGGAGCTCCACATCCAGCAGCATGTCCTCTGTTCTCGCGATCCGCAAGAGCGTTGCCGCGCGTTGGCGGATCTCGATAACAGAGGACATGCTGCTGCTGGATGTGGAGACTCCTGGGCCCGTCTTCACTGGGCAACCATACTGTGCCACCGGACCACCAGGGAATGCAGTGTGTCCCCCCTTCC